TTCTGAACCATCACCACATTTGCCAGCCATTCTGGATATTGGCAAGGTTCAATGAATCCTGCCTCCAATAATTTTTTGACCTCGGCTGCGATGTCTCGGTTCTTATTGGCGGAGTAATTCCGCTTCTTTTGCTTAACTGGTCGACACGTTGGGTCAACATTAAGCTTATGGGAGATGAGGTCTGAACTTATCCCGGGCATATCAGCTGCCGAGAAAGCAAACACATCTCTGTTATCCCGAAGGAGCTGAATAAGTTCACAACGGGTGTTAGGATCAAGGTCCATCCCGATTGTTACACATTTCTCAGCATCTCCTTCAGGCAACTCAACTGTTTCAGTCTGTTGGTCCATGTCCATTGCCGATGGACTGAACTCTTCAGAATCTGGTCTGCTGCCAATGTCAGCAGGTGTCCCAGTCTTTGTGTTCTTCGGCTGGCTCTCTGAGTCTTGCGGCTCAGCTGAAGAGTCAGCCTTTTCCCTTTCGGGCCCTTTTTCTCTGGGCACGGATCCTTGGGCCGAAGCACTTAGGCCTTTCGGCTTTTTTGTGCTTGGCTCTCTTTCTTTTCCTTTCCCCTCCTCATCCTTATCGTCGTCTGGGCGACTACTGGATGGTTTGAGGTAGTTGAACCTTCGGGCGTCCTTTTGGTTGCCCTGTATCCTCTCGGGGAAGCCGGCGTCTGAGACGTAAATCATCAGCTGATGATAAGTTGAGACGACCCCTTGGATCTCGTGAATTATGGGTCTCCCCAGAATCACGTTGTACACTGAAGGAGCGTCGATGACCAAAAATTCAATCATGACGTTCCGGGCTGCCTCATCGCAACCGATGGTGATAGGAAGTGTCACCTTCCCATCTGGATAAGTTGAAGCCCCATTGAACCCGGATACCGGATAGGGTACCGGCGTAAGGTGCTTGGGCTTCAGCTTAATTTGATTATAGGCCTTTCGGAACAGAATGTTTGCTCCACTGCCACCGTCAACAAGGACCTTACTGACGTCGTGGTTGGCCACCGTGGCGATGATCACCAACGGATCCTCGTGAGGGAACGTAATCCCCCGGCAGTCGGCGGCTGTGAACGTCATGTTCGGCATCGGCGACTGGGGAGATTGAATGTCAGCGTTGTTCACCTGGTGAGTCAAAGCTCTAAGGTGACGCTTGTGCTCCCTCCGAGAGTATATTCCTCCCGAGATAACATTGATCGGAGGGAATTTCCCCTCCGGTTTTTTACTGTTTTTCCGGGGGAAATCAAGGTCCTGCCGAGGGTCCTTTGCTGACCTCTCGGATTCTTTTTTCTCGCGGTGATCCGCGATGTATTTTTTCAAGCATCCCTTCCGGACCATGTCCTCTATCTGGTCCTTCAGTTGGATACACTCCTCAGTGTTGTGGCCCGAAGACTCGTGGAACTCACACCACTGATTTTTATTTTTTCGCTGATACCACTCTGGGAGTGGTCGCGGCTTTCGGTAACTCTGCTCTTCCTTCGTCACACTGTAAATTTTGGCGCGTGGAAGAGAGAGCGGAGTGTAGGACTCGTATCTGCCTGTGTATGAGGCTAATCTGTCCTTCTTTAGGTCGTTGGCCAAAGATGGCTCCGGAGCCTTTGATTTTCCCTTTGCCTTATGGCCTTGGCCTTCAGACAAGGGTATTTGCCTCTGTTTCCCTCCCCCGGATTGAGGTTGGGTTTTTGCTTTATTCCATTCTTCGGCTCGGATGAACTTATCCGAAGCACTAAGAGCTTCCTCCAAGGTCTGCGGGGTATGCATGACCATGAAGTCTAGGAATTTTCCTGGCTGAAGGCCATTCTGCATTGCAAAGACAGCTAACCCCTGGTCCAGCTGGGAGACGCTTGATGACTCGTTACTGAAATGGGTCAGGTAGTCTCGGAGGCTTTCGGTTTCCCCCTGTTGCAGACTCATGAGCTCTGCGGTAGTCTTCTCTCGGCGGTTTGCCGTGGAAAACTTGCTCCTGAACTTGGAGGACAGATCATCCCAACCTGTTATGGAGCCTTGCCTTACTCCCTTGGAGATCCACGCTTGCGCGACCCCCTTGAGAGTGGTTGGGAAATATTTGCACCAAGTCGCCTCGGATCTGGGGCAAAGATGCATATGAGTCTCATACGAGGCCACGTGGTCCTTCGGATCCGTGGTCCCGTCATATGTGATATGCGACGGTATTTTAACCGTGGGTACGCGCTCTTCCAGTATCCATTGCTCGAATGGTGAACTAGCGGGTAGCATAACGGCCTTGCCCTTGTTCCTGGCCGAAGGGACCGCGCTCCGCCCTCTTAGAGAGGTAGGAGTGGTTTTCGTCCCTGGCTGGGAAGTCTGGGCCTCGGCTGCAGGGTACGAGAGGCGACTACGCACGCTCGGTTCCTGGCCGCCGAGTCGGTCAAGGACGCTTCTGCGAACAGTCTCAGGTTCTCGACGAGTAGATTCTGGCCGAGAAGCTGAGCTGCTGCTCTTATGCGCTTCTGGTCTTGAGGATGAGGATCCTTTAAATAATTGAGGGTTCTTTTTCCTCTGTTTTTCATTTTTCCAAGAATCCTCCTCCCACTCTTCCAGTTCCCGGAAGGAAGGAAGCTTCCCACCGTCATGGTCTAACTTCCTCCGCTGATGCCGGGTATGCGGAGGAGTTCGATCACGAGGCGGTGGCATATTCTGTGCCCTCATTGCCTCCATGAGTACTGCCAGCGCTCTTGCCACCTCTTCCGAACTGGGCCCCGTCAAAGGGGTCCTCGGCCGAGTGTGGGAATGAGGCCGCGCAGCCGATGGTTGGCTTTGGGACACTGAATATGTCCTATGATCAGACTGACCCCTGCTAGACCGAGAGTGGTCCGGCCTATATTGAGAGTCATGCATTACGGGAGATAGGGAATCCTCCTTGTATGATCCTCCCCCCGAGCCGGCACCCTTGGGAGAGTTCCGGTCCGGCGAGGGCGATGGTGTAGGGGTTTTAGGCTTTTCGCCCGCTCCTTGACGGAGGCTTTTGCTCTTGCGGTTCTTAGCCATGGCTGCTAAGATAATTGCAAGATGATCTTGGTTAGGAATTTGGCTTAAAGATTTTTGAAAGTCTTCCCCACAGACGGCGCCAAATTGTTTCGGGTGAAAACAATGGGACCTTGCCGAAGGTCCGCTGAAATGGAGAAGACTGGATTCGGTCCAAGTTACGTTGGGCCGAAGGTTTCCTGCACAGTAAACACACGTAAACTAGCCTCGGGGGTGTTGCCGAGGAAGGCCCCTCCGATGCTAAAGTCAGTACAATGTGTAAAAGGAAGACACTATGCAAGAGAGTTTGTAGCTTGAGGCTTTTGTGAAGTATATCTCAATGAGGATATCCCTATGAACGTGTCAATATGATGGCTTTTATACCTCATCATACATGGTGAGGTTGGGCCTTAGCCCAATTGGCATGCTTTGTGGGCTGACCTTTGACTTTTGTGCAATTGGAGAGTTGAACCTTGACCTTGGGCTTTTAATTGGATCATTTAGTGCTTAGGCCCAATTTTGACTAAATTGGACCCAAACAGTATGGATAAAACAAGATAATAAATGTCGATATATACTAAGGTTGTGTAACTCATTAATTCTCAAATTAATTTTATGTCTAATCTGTCTAAAATAGAAATCTACTAGGCTCTACTTTCATAACTGTTGTAATCGTTCTTCAAAAAAGAAATAAAAAAGTCCTTGTAATTTGTCATGGCATGAACTAAAGGTCTTTGCGGTGTAATTATTGTTCCAGAGTTCAAATTTTGATAGAGTTCGTTTGTTATAGACAGCTTCCAATTCTTACCTCCTATATATACAGCATATATTAATCGAGTCTGAGCGATAATTACTTCCAATCTTAAACAAGTTTTTATTAATAAGCTTAATATTTCCATAATCTATTTATTTATTTGAGTTTTAGAAATAAAACATAACGAAACCTACTTCATACTTCATATAAAGGAACAACAAGCACTCAAGGATCTGAATAAATGATTCAATAGTTTTATTCAAACGAGCTTATAAATTCATCGAAAGAAGCAAAAATCAAATTGTGCATTGCATAGGATGTAACTAATTCATATAATTAAGGTTCAAATAGAAATGTTCTTCTTAGGTCAACATATGTTGGAGAAATTACTTTGAAAAATCAAACAGTGGTAACGATCTAGGCATGTATGACTGCATTTTTTTAAAACGTTATTTGCCCCCCATGCTATCAAGTGTTAAACTCAAGAAAGATCGGAGAAAACAGCTTAGCCTTTGTGCAATACAAAACAAAACAAGACCTAACTTGCCCTAAACTCCTAGCAAGATAAACTTGACAAATATACAATATTAACAAATATAACCAAACCGACTCTAATTAATTTTGCATTCCTTTTGTTCAAATCTCTGTTCAAGTAAAGGACGAATAAGCGCCCTGCAGATGAGTACAAAATTGTTTTAGGCTAATTATTTTGGTGTTTAAAGTGCCACATGGGCATGTTATGAGAATTAATCCCAAGATCACCTAAAATCGGAGGGGGGGCTTTAACCAGGTCACTTGAGCTATCCCTCACTATTTGTTTTAGGCTAATTAAATCCTCTATATTTTTATTTTTTTCCGTCTTTGTGTCACTCATGGAAAATTACTTCCACCATTCTCTTATATGTTGTCGCAAGGGTCAAATAAGAAAGATGAAAATGATTTTATGTGCATATAATTTTACATATATATGTCCATATCGCATTTAACAACATAAACATGACCATACAATACAAAACGAACGGAAGAATCGAATGGAGTAGAATGGAGTAGTTGAACGGAAGAATCGAAGCTTGGAAGATATGGCAAGGATGATGCTGATCTCAAGTGGATCGGCGAAGTGGTTGTGTAGTGGTTGTGCAATATAGCTAAAGGAGAAAGAAAAGGGGAAAAGATTCATAAAATTACATTGTTATCCCTATTTTATTGATTGAAAAGACAATTTTAACTCTCTGAGAAACATAAACTTGTATTTAGCCATTTTTACCTTTTGACTGTTTAAGACTATAAACCCAAAAAGTAAAAATCGTAGGGTTTTTGACATTTTTATCACCTTCATTTCATCACTCTCTCTCCTACCTTCTTCACTGCAGACAACAATGGAGTCGCACAAAGAAGAACCCAATACTAACTTACTTGAAAAAATCGACGCTTTAAAAGCTCAAAAAAGCGACATTGAAGCTCGAATTTCAGCCCTAGAATCTCAGCTTCGAGATTCTTCGATTTCCAAACAATCCCCATGTAACGGTTCCTTCCCTTCAATCTCCACCGTCGATTCCAATCGCAACCGCCATGGATTACCGTCCGATGCTATTTACCGTTATAGTCGTCATCTTTTGCTCCCCTCTTTCGGCGTTCAAGGTTTCCCCTTTTCATTTTGATTTAAGATTCATTATTCAAGATTTTTCTAATGTTTGTTGGTTTTTTCATTAATTTGTGTTTTTTATATAGTTTAATTCAGTGTTGATGTAATTTTGAGTATCTAAAATTGTGCGAATTAACTAAATTTTGAAGAAATCTTTCATCTTTTGGGTAATTTTATTAAAGTGTTTTTTTTTTAATTAGTGTTAATTAATTCTTCGATTTCGGATTGGAGTAGAATATTGCAAGGAAATTAGCATTGCTTTAATTGTTGCATCGTCGGATTTCAATGCTTAATATAGGTTTTGGATCAAAATTGAGGCAATGGAATCGAATTTCGGGTTATTCAAAGTATTAAGATCACAGCATAGTATATGCTCACCATGTTTATTAAATATTTTCAAAGGGTCCCATGTTGTTTTTCTGTGTTTATGGTGACTTCGTATGGCGTTTAATCATGTAAGAACTTATTGAAATTGGTGTAAAGATGATTGTTTGACATAGCATTGTTGGGCTATTCTTTTGTTTATGCAAAATATCAAAAGGTTTTAGAGGTTTCTTTTGACTTACTGTTTGTTTGTTATAGGGCAGTCAAATCTGTTGAAGTCGTCAGTCCTAGTTGTTGGAGCTGGAGGCTTGGGATCACCAGCTCTTTTGTATCTTGCAGCTTGTGGAGTCGGTAAGACGTCATTTCGTTGAGATGTTATACCTAGAGGACAATTATTTGCACCTAGCAATCCACATTCTATCCTACTTAACTTTAAGATACATTTTTCCTTTTATGTGATACGATTAAACTTACTGAAGGAATTGAACTTCAACAAAACTAACATATTTTTCGGGTTGTTTTTTCAGGTCGAATAGGTATTGTTGATCATGATGTAGTGGAGCTTAATAATATGCATAGGCAGGTGTGCTCCTTAAACCGTATTATAAATTTGAATTTTTCCTAGAACTTATTCTCCTTTTAATTTGGTCTGGATGTCAGGTTATCCACACTGAAGCCTACATCGGCAAGTCCAAAGTAGAATCTGCTGCTGCTGCCTGTCGCTCGTGCGTAATTCTCTACTTGCATCCTTCCTGATTACCACATTATTAAAAAAAAATAATAATAATAAATAAATAAAATAAAATAAAAATTGTGTTTTTTGTTAGGCTTGATGTTGATGTTTGTTTCAGGATCAACTCCACAATTAATATTGTTGAATATAGGGAAGCATTACGAACATCAAATGCTTTAGAGATCTTTAGCAAGTACTTTTCCCGAATGCTTTGAATATAGGCTTGATGTTGATGTTTGTTTCAGGATCAACTCCACAATTAATATTGTTGAATATAGGGAAGCATTACGAACATCAAATGCTTTGGAGATCTTTAGCAAGTACTTTTCCCAAATTCTTTTATACTCGTGTATTATTCTTCACTTTAACTAATTAACTTTCAAATTGTTTAGGACTTGATAATTCTTCGCTGATGGCATTTTGCAGGTATGATTTAATAATTGATGCCACAGACAATGTCCCAATTCGATACCTGATCAATGATTGTTGTGTTGTGTTGAAAAAGGTAATGGGTTTCTTTAAAGCCCTGGTAATTACTTGGAAATACTTAATTGATGATTTATCGGGTGTGTGATTTGTTAAAACCATTGTTTTAATAGAATACTATCCGTGAAGTACAATTTATTTTGTTTCCCTAAGAAAATAGATGATTTATATCATGAAAGGAAATTCAATATATCAGTTGACATCTTGCTGTGAGTAATCATGACAGTGTGAAGGTTTAAACTGATAAGAAAAGGTAACAAATGTGATGGTTGATACACCTAGTCATATGTTCTTTCATGTGTGCTCACTGTGCAGTAGGATCGTGTAGATTTTTAGTATCATTCACCATAGAATCATGTGTTATATGCGTATCTTTTTGCTATCTAGGTTATGCAATACGAGATCGTTTCTCACTTCCTTAAATTTTCATTCTGCAGCCTCTTGTATCCGGTGCTGCTCTAGGATTTGAAGGACAGGTATCCATATAGTTTTTTTTCTCATATTTTTGGCTTAAGCTGGCTATGCTTATGAACTGATCAGAATTTATTCACAGCTTACCATTTACAACTACAAAGGTGGCCCATGCTATAGATGCCTTTTTCCAGCTCCACCACCCATGACAGCATGTCAAAGATGTTCGGACAGTGGTGTCCTTGGAGTAGGTGAGTTGCTGAATACGGAGTACTCACATATACTTTTATAGCCTGCAAATCATGCTTGTCTTAAACTCTCAATTGGTTTTTGGATTCCATTTGTAGTAATGTGGCTTTAAAGCATTGAAACAATGTGTAGAAGTTGAGTTTGAGGCAATGGTCCTGGCAGTGCATTTAAAAATGTTATTTTAACTCACTAGGGTTGCTGTCTGCATAATCAAGATTGAGTCTCGCTATTTTTACTAGTTGCTGATTTTGATGCTCTATTTTAGAACTTCTTCAGCTCTCTAATTCAGTGTCTTGTGAATTAATTTTTGGTTTTTGTTTCATACTTCACCTTCTATTTGTTGCATTGCAACTGCTTATTCTTATCTCTAACTTATGCTTTGCAGTTCCTGGAGTCATTGGAACTTTACAGGCCCTGGAGGCTATAAAAATTGCTAGTAATGTTGGTGAGCCACTTTCAGGACGGATGCTTATATTTGATGCATTGTCTGGAAGGATTCGTGTGGTATGATTCAAATTTCTATTTCTGATGTTGGGCCTTGTCAAACAATGTCTTTTCGATCTCCTTTTCAAATTGTGCCTCTATAAATGTGCTCTAATTTGTATAGTAATATTGTCATTAGTATCTTTATTTTGTTTTGATGTGTTTTAAGTTGGTGGCCTGGTGGGCAATATGGGAAACTCTATAAATGTGCTCTAAAAACCCACAATATACTTCTCCTTTACATCAAAGCTCTTTGTTGAATTATGTGATGATCAATGGATCGGATAAGCAACTAAAAGTTTTATTGATCTGTGCCAGACTGCCAGCACAGTAATTCTTATTGCTTTGATGTGAATCGAGAGAATAATGAGTGTTGGGCATTGTTGTTATGTCCTTGTGGAGAAATTCGGTTTTTGAGTTCAAGATTTCTTCCTAAAGTTGTTATCAATATCAACCTCTTTTTTAAATCTATTTAACTGAAAAAAGTATTTTTCTTTTAAATTTGCTAATTCTATTATCTACTTTCATTTTTTTTTTTTGAACAAACTTTCATTTCTTACATACATACATACATACATACATACATACATACATACATACATACATACATACATACATACATACATACATACATACATACATATTGGGTTTTACTGTCTACACATTTGTGCTTGTGGATTGCTAATGTTAAATTTTCTCATTGTTAAGGTCAAAATAAGGGGACAGTCACCACAATGTGAAGCCTGTGGAGAAAAATCCGCATTCACCCCTGAACACTTTAGAGAATATGACTATGAGAAGTTCACCCAGTCTTCCCTGTCTACAGTAAGACTTTTATCTGTTTTGTAACTTCTGTTTAAGCTTGGAGTTCTCTAATGTTATTATCATTTTATGACCCCCAATGCTGGTAATTTTGGATCAAGACAATTTTTTTTTTTTTTTTTTTTTTTTTTTTTGGTTACATGTATTCTATTGGAATTCCTGCCAGTGTAGTGTGTACTCAGTCAAATTCTACATTATGAATTAGGTGTTCTGGTCTCAGATTTCTCCTATTTTATTATATTGAAATGTCGCTATATATGACAGTATTGTCCTATCATCAACGTTCATTGTTGGGTTATAAAAAAAGATGCCTATGCTTCAATACAACCTGAATTCCCATGCAAGTCTCTTTTGGGTTATATGCTTTAATGACTACTTTGATGATGTATTCTCACTATACTTGGAAGCCTATGTATTAGTGTGTGTATATTGTATGTCAAATTAATCACATATTCACATCTCAACTTTTCGATGCATCATAAGTACAGCACTTGGTGTATGAAAAAATTGCAATGTTAGCATATTCTTTCAAAAATTTAGCAGTCCCCACGATATTAGGTGGTAATACTCTTGGCAAGCTGGAGCATTTTATACCAACATACCTTTCCTTAGGTTTATTATGATTTTGGTAATAGGACAACTGCCTAAGATATTAGGAAGTTTCTGATTGTTTGAATGATCCATAGACTAGGTCGCCGGACCCTTAATAAATTCTTCTAGGTCACAAAATAAAACGAAATTTATATTTAAATGAACTCCCTGCCCTCATGATAGCTGATGACTATATTTTCTATTTTGTTCGTATTTCTGTAACAGTCAAATTGTTTTAAATGTGTATTAAGTGGCTGCTTTTCCCGTCTATCTTATCTGGGTGCAGGCTCCTCCCAAGTTGAACCTTGTGCCGGCAGATTCAAGAATTAGCTGCAAGGAGTACAATGAGAAGGTTGTCAATGGAGAAGCACATATTTTGGTTGATGTTCGGCCTGCTCATCATTTTGACATAATCTCACTTCCCAATTCTCTTAATCTCCCACTCTCAAGTTTGGAGTCCCGATTGCCAGAAATCTCTGCTGCTTTGAAGGAAGAGGAAACACGTAGAGGCATTTCCGGTGCTCATCTGTATACAGTTTGCAGAAGAGGCAATGATTCACAGAGAGCTGTCCAATTACTACACAATCATGGCTTCACCACAGCCAAGGACATTGTCGGTGGATTGACAGCTTGGCAAAAAGAAGTTGATCCCAACTTCCCTGCCTACTAATGACATTCACACAACTTCTAATCTTGTTATTCACTTTGTAGATTAGAACCTTTTTTGGCATGGTTTGAAACCTTGAAACTTAATTTGCTCATTGCCTCTTCTCAAGTTCCCATTGTATGACAATGATATACTTCATAGCAAATTACATAATATTTTACGATAATTTTTACCCTATATAAGGGCATACTAACACTTGAATCTTTGCTTGGGACATGTTTCCGAAAACTTCGATACCCATACCTGGTTAACATACCAGATATATGCACGAAAAATAACCCTCTTAACTGCCATCAATTTATTACGGTAGCAGACTGGTTATCTTGAAGATCTTGCTGGTTAAGTGCACGAAAAAAAATTACCAAAATTTTTCATTAAGATGTCAGAAGTTCCAATAACTTCAAACACATCCTCCAAAAACACAAAATTGTAGAGTTATCATCTACTCATTTTGCTCCTACTTGACCAACACTTTCAGTCTAGCAAATCACTAAATCTCTAATCTATTGACTACCATCCAAGAAGTAAAAGCTTCAACAAAGCCATACGGATATAAAGACCATTCTTTGCTTGTCTGAAGTAGGCTGCCCTCGGATCTTCATCCACATCTACTGTTATCTGTAAAGGTCAAAATAAAACATCAACAAAGTAAGAAAGCAATTTCTTGCCAACGTGAAAAACAGGGAACGAGAAGAGGGACATGAGAAGAGTTATGATCTGGTTTAATGATTTGGAGGGAAGGACCACAGTACATGCATCACCTTCACTAGTAAGGGATTAAGAAAATTACCTCGTCAAGACGTGGAAGAGGGTGCATTACTACAGCGTGCTTCTGCATCACATTCAACACATTTTTATTTACTATGTATTTTCCTCTTGCTTCTTCGTAAAGATCAGTCCTTTCCCCAAAACGCTCTCGCTGAATACGAGTCTGATACACTACATCACATTTAGAAGCTACTTCCATTAAGTCAGCACTTTCTTCCCATTGAATGTTCTTTGAGGTCAGATACTCCTTAATGTCATCCTGAAGTTGCAATGTAATGCAATTTAGTATTCTAGAATTACTGCAATCTAGATTTCCATATTTGATTATTTTTCTAGTAAAGAACAAAATGACCTTACATCAAATATTCAACATAAACATACCTTCATTCTCACCACATCTGGTGCCACAAAGTATATCTTAACATCATTATACTTGGCAAGCAAATATGCCAGAGAACGAACAGTCCTTCCATAAGCAAGATCACCAACCAATGCAACACTAATGCCATCTAGCTTTCCTACCTCTCTTTGAATGGTGTATACATCTAAAAGAGCCTGCGTCACATAAAAGAGAAGGTCAGGGATAACAATAATACTCACGACATACAGCACTATAGGGCCACATCTTTGTATTCTACAAAATTGCAATTATACAATTCTACTTTAGTGTTGATAAGGTAAGGTGAAGAGCCCACCGAGGATGACTAGGGAGGGGGAGACAAATGAGATCATGGGATTCATTTCAGTCCTTGGGCCAGGAAACTAGAAAAGTTGGGAAAACTTCCCTGACTTTTCAGCTCACTCAAAAGTTCATGGGATGATTATAGTACAAAAAGACAGGATATTGCAAAAGGAAAGAGAAGAGCCTGACTACTTCCTAAGCAAATTATGTCATGTGAATAATTATAAAAATTTCTTCCTCTATATCTGTGAATACAATATGATCAAGTATTGATAACAAATGAATTTATGTGAGGATTCCCAAATGAGCAGTGGCTTGCACAGATTAGGTAATTCTGTGAAGTATCATCATCAAAGATCACGGAGCATGACTGAAGTATACATTATGCATTCATCGTTGAAGAAGGTAGAACTGAAAAGATGAACTTTTACAGTCAAAATGTCATACTTTGTGAGATCTATGATGAAAAGACACATTCACAATGTCACACAAGCGCACAGACACACCCACAAGCACACCGATACATACACATAGCTCAGACACCAGTATGCTGGTAATGTAGTTTAGCAATAAGCTATCATCACTTAACAGCCAAACAAGCCACAAAAGTGGGGTTATATTACTGTCTCACTACATAGCAATAGGAAACTGTCACCATCCTCTTATAGTAGATTTATATATCCAATGTTAACAATTTATTAGCACAGCAATAATGTAAGGTCCAAGAAAATTTTAGAGATTTTGTCAACTAATATCATAGCCTCCAAAACATGGTATTAAATGAGCAGCAACATTTAAGTCTACATGAACTTCTTTATAATATAGTCACACATCAAAAATTAATGTCCCTAAAAGGTTACATTCAAGATAAAATAAGGCTTAACCTGAGTTGGATGCTGCCCTGGACCATCTCCTGCATTTATGATGGGAATTCCCGCGGTTGTAGCTGCCCTTCTAGCAGCACCACTTTCAAAGTGCCTCATCACAACGATATCCGCATATCCTTCAACTGTTCTAATAGTATCTGCATAAGAAGGCAACACATTACAACCAAAACACATCAGAGGACTGCCAATAACAATCACGTAGAAACTAGTAAGCCCTACCCTCTAGTGTCTCTCCTTTGGCAGCTGATGAAAACTCTCTAGCATTCTCAGTTGTCAAAACTTCACCACCTAACCGTTTCATAGCAGATTCAAACGAAAGCCTGGTTCTAGTAGAAGGCTCGTAAAACAAAGTAGCCATTAAGTATCCCTTCAAAATCTGGCTCCCAGGTGAGTTTTTTTCTACCTTCTCCATCTCCTGCGCCACCTCAAAAATCGCACTAAGAGTCTCTCTATCAAACTGCTGAGCTTCAAGCACATCATCAAGTTGAAATTTCTGACCTACTGAAAATAAATTTGTATTCCTAACACCAACTACATGGCAAGGAACTCCAAGCCTCATCGGAACTTCCCCATTCGACTCCCATTTTAAAGGTTTCGCCCCAAACGAGCCCCTTAACGAGGTGAAGTCAGCAGATGAGCAATTTGGCACGCAATTAACCACCCTTTTCCTGAATAAATCCGGGCAGCCGCTCATAATAACCTTTTGAGATTTACTCACATTACAAACGCCTACGGCCCCGTTCGATGCACACATGCTCAATGAGGATGAAGAGGCCATTGCAATTATCAAAACTACCTAAATATTATGCTAAAACCCCTGAAAAATGTCATAAAACAAGTTGCCATATCATGAAATGCACAAACTAGTAAAGATCAATTCTTGCAACAATTAACCACAAAAACAGAAGAAATTAAACAAATTGTATCACGCAATTAACCACAAAAACAGAAGAAATTAAACACATCCTAATTGAGAATTCAATACTCACATACGCACAAATTTTATTCCAAAATCAAATTTATATAGAACCTCAAACTGTTCTAGCTATGTACGTAATTCGAATTACAGATTCAAAGATACACAAGTAACAATTCCAAAAATAAATAAAAACCCACCAAAATTATACCCAGAAATAATTCAAAAAAGATAGTTTAAATTAAAATAAAAAACAAAAGAAAGACTCAAGAAGCATTGAGATACCTCAAAGGCCGAAGAAAACAGCGTCGCTTTGGTGGAAGAACAGTGAGATTACAGAGGAAGATGAGAGTAACGGAGTGGTGTGAGCCTGTGACTGTGTGAATGAACGACTGAACGGTGAACAGGGATTTTGGGTGTTTTTTTTGGGTTTTTGGTACTGTATTTTTTTATTCTTCCTACTTTCCCAGTGATATTGGTCCATTTTTCATTGGTACATCGTATCGTGTTTGCGTGCCTTGGAGTTGGCTAGACTCGGTCCATAATAGTATGACACAGCTCACTAATAAGGTGTCAACCGTGTCACATAACAACATTTTAAAAGATTGGCTAACACCTAGACACACAATGCGAGTCCATTTTGTTATATTGTATTCGTGTTTTTTTGATGTACAAGTTAAGTTTCATTTATTGTAAGGTATTTTGTAATGTTAGCCTGTAATGAGCTGTATTTTTCCAACAGAAATGTGGCCCGTATGCATATTAACGTGTCGTGTTGTGCTTTTTTCATGATGGGTTGTGCGTTATTAGCCTGACTCAATATCCTCTATAGTTTGATGTTTTTTTGGTGTGATAGTATTATGTAGGCAAGGATTCTCTCACATTAATCACAAGGTTTTGAAATCTAGAACCAAATCTATACTTAGTATTTAAGAAGTCTAACCAAGAAAGACACATGTTCCCATCCTATTACACTTCTCTATCTGCTTCTCTAACCAAAGTGTCACATGTCTTCTTACATTATTATTTTTTTATTACACCATCTTTCTTTAATTCTTTCATTAAACTTCTATTTCATCTTCCATATACACTTCATTCCTTCATCTTCATCCCTCTTCTTCAATTCAACCTTTTCCTACTCTCTCTTTAATTTTAGCCCTCCCTCCCCCCCCCCCCCTATTTAAGCCTCTTTTTCAATTAAAGTATTAAAATTTTAATTTCTTTAATCATGTTTCCAATTACATATTATACCCCATAATGACTTATTGATATTTCCTCACTCATCTCTCAATGCAATTTTATATGAATAACTCGTGCATTACAGGGGCCAGAAGGCTAGTTTTCATTAAAACCCTACCAAAACTTTAGTAATAATATGTGTCCATTATGTCCTATTGTAGTACAAATGTTCTTTCACTTTGACGCTTTTTTCTAGCAATAATAGTATTAATTAATCATTTATAGCCCCTAAATTTAAAGTTTGCTTACAACATATCAAAAGTCACGGCTTAAGTTAATAAAGTGTTTTGTGAATGATGTGAAACTCACAAAGAATAACAAATACAAGTAAGAGAGAAAGATTATGTGCAAGACTACAAGCAACATTACTTTAAGACGAATTATGTATTACCAGTTTTACCAATTTGATAATCTGGAAAAAATGAATATAAGGATAGAGAATCTGAGGATGAATTATTACCTTCCAAGTACAAGAGATTTTTTTTTTTTTTTTTTTTTTTTTTGACAAGGAGTACAGGAATTTAAAATAGAGTGACAAACATAGTATATAGCCATATAAATGATTTAAAAAGTTAAAGACAGTTACAATTTTAATTTCATTATTCAAAATCTTGTGAATAGTTGTAAATAATCAACTATTACACTAAAACAAACAAAATAGCTCCAACTATGAACTATGACCATGAAACAAACACCAATAACTTAAATAAAAATAAGAAACATGACTACTAATCCAAGATATTAATACTTGAAATGACTATCCAAAAGAATTAAAAGATGGAAAATTTAAAGGAACATGCAAATGGGATAGTCTTAGCTTGCATGCTTAAAAACAAATGAACCATGCATGTTAATGCCTTAATTCTTTCTTGGAAATTTGGGGACTATTTTGAGAGCCAGAAGATCCGGGAGGCCAAGGGAAAGGAAAGGGGAAAGGCGGTCCGGGCAGCATAGGAGGCAATGGGATAGGAGGGTAGGGTTGAGCATAACCACACAACCCATACCCACAAGGCCTCCCGAAACCACACCTTTTCCCACATTCACCACAATTAAAAGGATCAAGGTTGGTATTCATGCACAATCCATTACAACATTGCCATGTAAACGGACATCTTATGCCACAAAAACCACAATTTAGAGGATCAGATAGGATATCAATGCATCGATTCATACAACATAATCTTCGTGGGGGAAATTGAGTTCCTGAGCAAATCCACGGCCTATTCCAACACCCTTGTTGTTGAGCTCTTGGGTTTATGGCTCTTTTAAGCCATGGCGAAGTGGTGTTAGCCTTGGTGACATTAAATCGCGCTTCTTCAATGTTGTGTTTTGCACCCACTTCTACAATTAGAGATAATAGTGCTAGGAAATAAAAAGTATAGGCTAAAATTTTCATTTTGAGATGCATTATTAACAACATTCATTACTAATAAAGGTGTGCTTTGTAACGAGTTATATAGAGGATTTTAGGCAACCAAGTTACGGAGTGTACATTCATGCTTTTCATACATGGATTGATTATTACTTGGTTCTCATGGAAATTATGTGAGTTAATTGAGTAGACCACCTCCATTATTTGGTAGTTAGGTATTAAGTTGGGTAGTTTTTGGCTTTTTAAACCCAAATTAACATATTAGAGCACATGTAAAGGCATAAAGGAGCTCTTTTCTTGCAACCTTGCTCACAATTTTGTTAGGGTGTAAACATGGAAAGGCTTTTGGTCGGCTATTTGATATGGAGTTTAAGAAAATAAGTATATGAATTTGTTGCTCACAAGTCACAAGTAGAACCCACGCATTTCCACTTAATCTGCAATACCCTTAGCTTCTCAAATTAGATGGTCCATTAATTAATAGAAAATTCAGTTTAAAAATCAGTTATAGTCACAATTTCACAAATAGCTAAAAAGAAACACATTTCACATCATCTAGCATACTCGGTCATTTTCTATTTATAGTTCTCGTCTTGATTGTTTACGTATGTCAGTTTACCATCAATACCTTTGATTACATATTAATAAATATTATAAAACAAGACTCCACATGACTATGATTTTTCTGCCGTATTATTTTAGAAGTAATTTAGAAGATTTTTTTACCCTGTAAATATTTGCAAGATTCTAAACACAAACTTAAAAGAGAAAAAGGTGGTTAGAGTACTTATTAAACATGTTTAAATAGTGAATACATATAAGGACCTTTTCTTTTGAGCTTCTAGGCAAGCAGAGTATAGCAGAGCAAATTGAGTCAGTAAAGCAGAACAGAATATATTTCAGCAACGCAGAGCAGAACATATTTCAACAGAACAAAGCAGCTCAAAAGAACATGGTCTATCTCTAAGAAACTTTAAAACATCATCTTGTTAGGATTTTTTTTGCCTGAACAAATAAGTGCAAGGCATGGAACAGCTCAAAAATTGCAATGAACAAATAAACTACACAATAAGCTAAATAATTAAAGTACTTAACAGAAGCTATTTGATTAAATCCAAATAACAGCATCTTACAAGCGCCAAATTGCTCAGGGGCAAGCGCACTTATATTACATCCCTCCTGAGGCAGATTGCCTGTTCGACATCGCTCCTGAGGCAGGTAGCCAACAGGCAATGATAGCTATGAATAGGATCCATTTTATAAATTATCTATTTTCCTAATTTTTTTCTTTTATGAGTTAATTACTTACATTACTCATAACAATTTGTCAGTAGCAAAACATGCGACTCATTGATTTAAAGCTAAAACAGATGATACAAACTCAGTTTGCATCATTTAGGGAAGCAAATAATAAGCTGAAGAGCCATATTACTGTTGGACCAAACACTCATGGTTCCCGGGCACCATAGGAGAAGCAGCCGTGTTGATGGAATCCGCTTCTCTAGAAGCATGGGGAGATTCAAGCTCAGCCACCTTGAGAAGCATGTCTGACCCATTTTCAACTACAGGACAAGCAATGGCTTCAAATATCATGACCTTCACTTCTTCGAACCTTGCTTCGGACAGAGACACCTCGGCCAGGAGCCTCCAAGCATTACCCTCAGACGCCTCATCATAGTCTTTTCTCCTCTTTAACACAATATGTCCACTGATCTCCCAGACCGCTGGATTTACTTGGGTGTCAAGGAGCTCAGGACTTACCTCCCCTAAGGCCTGTTTCTCAGCATAGCACTGAATCCAAAAACAAGAGATACATGTCAATAACTAAGGAAATGAGAAGGACAAGAATTCAAGGGAAAGGTATAAAGGGATTTATTTGTAGCACCTGTGGGAGGATAAAAATCCGCCTTCCAGAATCAGCAATAAGAACATTGTAAGGGATGTTAGTGTCTTGCAGAAAAATGCAGCAGTCTGAGACCTCCTTGGCTAAATCTTGGAGAGAATTCCCTCCTTCCAAGACAAGACCCCTTACTGGATATTTCAGGAGCTCAAATATCTTGACCCCATTACTGGTAGTAGTGATTTTCTTGGTAGGAGCCTTCTCAATGGGAAATGGGCTAGCCAAGTAATAAGCCTGTTTTCCGGAAAACATAAGAGTTAAATCTTTGAGAAACACTATCCATGAAAGGTATAAAAATTTTTAAGGAAAACCAACATGGCCCTGAGAGAATACCTGGAAATGGAGATGGTTAATGGTAGCAAATGCACCCAAGCTATTGTATCCAAGACGGAAGTAAGGACTCCCAGCTTCAACAGCCATGTTCAGAGCAAGCAAGAAACTCTCACAATCAATCCTTTGAGGCAGGCACTCGAAAATTCGAGGAATCAAGAGCACGTGTCCATATTCAATAGGACTGACCTGTTTATAAAAATAACATAATTCATCAAAAGATTAATAATTTTTGCAACGTAAAAAAAAACATAATTCTTAACACTGGATAATAGTGGAAAAAATTACATTAATGGCAACAAAGCTTGGCGAATTCTCAACAGCGATTGGAGCACCAGGGATGAAGTAAGCTTCACCGTCCTCACTTGCTTCAAACTGGAAGAGCACCTCTTCCTGCCCAACTTTTGTGAAGTTAAATTTGCTGCCATCAAAGGGTTGAAGGACCTTATCGACTTGGAATTCAGTCGGCCTTTTCTTCAGGTGACGGCCCTCATTAAGCTGGGCAACAAATCCATAATCACCAGGGATCACCTATAGTTTAATCCATGAAGATGTATCAGTATCACAAACCACAAGAATTAGCTCCAAACCAATAAATACAACAGAAATTAAAACAACTAAAAAAAAAATAAAAACAATGTTATAGAACAGGGAAAGCTATATCAGACCTTGGTTTCACAAGCAGTAACATCATAGCGGAATAGACCCCTCTCGAAGCGGTCCTCCCACTGTTATAACAAATTAAGAATGAGATTAATACAAAGTTCTACACAATACAACTCTAATCTAAAAAGATATTAATCAGGTTGTATCCCTGTTTGACTTGAACTACTTATTACCTCTCCAAGCAGGAGTGAGTCGAGGAAGGCAACAGGGGACTCTCTAGCCTCATCAACAACCAAATCCTTCTCAGTTCCAATCTTATTGACCCTCTTGTAAGCGTACAGAGGCAGTTTTGCACCTATTGAAAAGTCCAGGTCCCAACAAACAAAGATCAATCACAGTAATTCAAATGAAAATCAGCAAGAAAACCACTTAAATTGACATGACGCACGGATGTGTCCTCAAGCAAAACTACATGCAACACCTTTACATAACAAGCACCTAGCAACCAGTGTATAAAACAAAAATCCAGAAAACTTAATCCTGTTAAGGGGCTAACACAATCACCCCTAGGTGTTGTTACCTGCAACGACAACATTTCAACAATTCTCCAAGACATCCACTTAATAATCAACCAAGAACAACAAAATGCAACGACGATCCCATGCAAACCATACCTAAGCTCAACCAACGGTTCCTTCACTAAAGTGACAAAGATCTAATTGATTACAATATATTCCTGGCTCACACATACATGATACATATACCAACATAAGGTTTCAAAGTGATACCGAACAAACACTAAGCTACGAGGATAATCTCAACATCCGTCTATTAAAGCAATAGAAACACCTCCCTCCCCAAATTCGCCATTGACAAACATTCAAAAGATTTCACCAAACTTTCAATTAAATATCAAATCAAATTCCCGCAAATTTCAGGACAAGAACTCAATTAAATACAATCCATCAAATACCAATAGCACAACATGCATTCATAAATTCCCACAAATTTCAGGACAAAACCCCAATTAAATACACTCCATCAAATATCAATAGCACAGCATGCATTCAAAATAATTGCAATCAACCATTTTTACATAAAAAGACATGTATAAATTAATAACAAGAATTCAAAGAGGAATTTCATTGAATACCTTGTATGCAACACTCTTTGAGACAATTCCGGCCACACCCACTAACAATCCGAGCAGACCCGTCTCCCTCCTCCTTCTGATAATTCGACACAATCGTCGGAACCCTCTTAATCCTCAACATTTTTTTTCTTTTGCTTCTTCTTCCCCAGAAAAAATTCAAAAAATCAAACTTTTTTCTATACAGCTACACCAACTACTTGTATATATATTAAAAAAAACTACAACTACGAAGCTCAGAAACAACCGCCTCCGGCGAGAAAGAGAAGATCGGAAGGGCTGCCGCCTTCGGAAGGCAAGGCGCCGCGTCCGCCGTGCAACGAAGGGCTACCTCGATCAATCAAAAGACAATTACAACCCTTCTTACGTCGCACATCACGGGCGTGCAAAGGCCGAAGTTTTCTTTGTATAGCCGTGTTTGCAATCAAAATCTCTGTCCTTGGGTTCTAACCCCAGCAAATTCCTTCATCAAAATAAAAAATCAGCCAAATTTGGAACTGGGTATTTTCCGGGTATTTATGATTTGGTGTAGAATTGGATGAATTTGAGGAGAGAGAAAGGATTCAGAAGGCGGAGTTAAATAGATAGAAAGGGTGAGTGAAGACGAGAGGATTGAGAAAGGGAGAAAATGGGGGAATTGTGGTTGTGGTTGTGATTCGTGAAACGTAGTTGAGATTGATTTAGGGGTGGTGAGTGATTTGTTGGATGTGGACAACAAACAATAGGAGAGGGAAAGAGAAATAACGGTTGTTATATGGTTTGGTTTGGGGTTATTATGCATGCAACGTATATGCTTACGGTATAAAGTATAAACCTACTTGTAATATTAGATGGGGAGGAGGTGTCTTATCGGACCGGAATCTCTTTTAAAAGAGAAAGTTTTGCGTTAGATCGGACTCACCGTGAGTCTGACATTAATAATTTAATATCTAACATTAGTAATTTAATATTTGACATTAATAATCTAATATTTGACATTAATAATCTAATATCTGACATTAATATTTTTAGGGGGTTATTCATTTTCACAGTTCTCTTCCTCTCTCCTTTGATTACTTCTTCTCCATTCATCTCTCTTTACCTCCATTTTCTCTCTCATTCATCTCAACAATTGTTTGCTTGCTCAAATCTTCATTGTTTCTCACTGCTAGTTGAATGTGACGTGGTACTATTCGAGATTTCTTATTGGCTTTTGCTGTATTTCCAACCAACTCCAATACCTATATTAATTTCAATTTCCCAAAAATTTGTTAGAACAAACCCTAGAATCACTAATTTTGGTAAAATTTGATTCAATTGAAGTGAAATGCCAACAGAATCAAATTCATTGAATGATTAATTGCATATTTATCCATGTATGATTGTCAAATTAAGAAATCATCGGTTATGTAGATTTTGCAGTAAAATCGATTGAAATGAAACAAAATCAATTGGATATACATACATATATATATATATGAAAAAGCAACGAAAATGGATGCTTTCGAACTGCGATCAACCCAAAGGTCGAGGATGAAGAAGCAGCAACATTTGGATGAACATTTGGGTTCTCAAGCCCGGACTCACGGTGAGTTCGTTCTACGCAAATTTTATCCCTTATAAAATAACCCGTTTTACATACGCATTAATATCTCTTAAGAATAAGGATTCTCCACCCCCAAGTTGCCTTTAGTAGGGATTGATCTCATAAGTTGGGTTCGAAACAAGTTAGAATACGATATGGAGAAAAGACTATCTTCGTTTTTTTTTTTTTTAATATTTGTTTCTTTGAGGAAGAAAAAAATAAATTTGTTACTTTATCGGTGGAAGAGGAACATAAAAATTATTTAGCCCTCCCCAAATTATTTGGATGTGTGGAAGGTAATACATAAAAGTATACCTTTGATCATCTCTGATCTCGAGAAGTTGTAAAAACTTAGATTGTTCACATTTTCACAATGGTGAAACATGAGTTTTGGTCCAAACTCTTTAAAAAGAAAATTGTAAGGCCTTGTTCTTTACAGTTGCTCTGCATTACTCTACTCCGCTGAGTGAAATATGCTCTATTCTACTTTGCTGACACCTGCTCTGCTCTGCCTGTCCAAAAGCTCAAAAGAACCGGGCCTAAGTACACTACACATGGTTGATTCTAACTTTCTAATAAGTTATTTCACTACTATTTAATCAATTTTTATCTCAAGTTAATAAATATGTCAACTAGTGCCCTTTTGCCGTTTGGGATGGGATCAAATTTGTAAGAGTCTACTCATCATCATAATCTATAGCTTAGGTTTTCTCTTTATAATTTAAATACTATATCCAAGCTTATATTATCTTGACTTATATATTAATAAGTGTGTCTTAGCTTACTTTTTCAATATAATGTAGCAAAACTTATTTAGTCTAATTATCCAAAATTATTAGTATAAATATATGATATAACTTATACAAGTATAAACTTATTTATTTAAAACAAATCAAACTAAGATCAACGTATTATAAACTTATTTATTATAGTATTACGTTGAACTATATAAACTTGTTTATCAAGTGACAAAAACTGTAAATAAATCAACAGTTTTTAATTAAATATAGACCTCACAATTATTTAATGATATATTTTTGAAAATATTAATTATGCTAACTAGACATTTTTTGTTTATTTATAATTTTATTACTTAATAGAACAAATTATCTATCAAGATAATAAAACGGAAGCTTCCTCATAGCTCGAGGGTAAAAGTACGTTCTAGTGATAGACTGGTAGAGCATACAGTCCATTTGTTTTTCACTTTTTCGTCATGGACCTCGTGGTTACTTCGTAGTCAACTATGGTACAAAAAGGCCAACAATTTTTTCCACGGACATAATGCATCTGACATTCAAACCCAAAAATACTCTCATTATATTATTTTATTTGCGGTCTAAAACTTTTATAGCCGACTAATTACTGCGTTTTATGAGAATCAAGCCAATCTAATATTAAAAGCATATATTTCATACTCAAACAAATATACTACTTGATTTGGTCCCCTCTCACTTTTGTGGACATGGAAAATACTACCATTATTAGTAAAATGGCAAAAGAGGATATATTGTTTTTTTTTTTGTTTTTTTTTTTGGACACAAAATGTACTCGTAGGCAAGATCTAATTCTATAATTCATCCATATTAAAATGTACAGCAGCTATCAAGTGTGCATGTTACATTGAATTTTTTGCAGTGGGTTGTTCTCCCTTCGCTTATCTTTTGTATACAGAGTTGGATGTAGGCTGTGCTGGATCAAGTCCGTGTGTCTTGGGTTTGGCTAAGTTCGGAACACGATCAAGCTCGGTATCTGTTGTGCCCGCAAATTCTTAACTACACAATTATGTAGCTAAGCTAACTACACCACTGCACTATTAGAAGTTAATCTAGAAAAATCTAGATGTGTAATGAAAAATCTAGTGAGTAGTTTAGAAAATTCTAGAATAAAGTAGAAAAATCAAGAGATGTTTGTATCTAGAAATATCTTGTAAAAATATCAAAGATCTTTGATGTAGAAAGATCTAAATACCTGTAATATTAGACATGTGTAGAAAACCCTATAGAGTAGGAACAACCACTATAAATATGTTCAATGTACATGGGTTAGAAGTGAGCCAATTAAGAGAGCTCATATTGATGTGACGAGGGAAGTACTCACCAAGATAGTGAGAGACATGAGTTCTCACAAATTAGATAAGAGTGGTGTAGGTGTGAGTAAGTCTCCACTAAAAATATTGTTGTACAACTTATGATGAAATTTATGAAATCATAAAATTGTTGTATGACATTTGAGTCCATTAAACTTTCGCGTGCGCCCAAATTTTATCATGCACCCATATATGAACATATAGTAATTCAAAAATGATCATACATTTTTTTTTCCCTTTTTATATCTTTAACTCTCTCTCTCTTCTTCTTTGTTAATTTTCTCTCTCCTCTGTTTTCTTCTCAATCTAAAATTTTCTCTCCTCTTTTTTCCCCCCTTTTTTTATAAGTTAATTTTCCTTTTTACTTCACTTTCCTTCAATCTTTATACTTCTTTGTCCTTCTAATTCAGATATTCTCCAATTCGTTACCATTGTAGCATCCTCCATCATCATCTTCGTCACGATCATGAAATTCGAGGTAATTTTGAGTTTTTTTTTTAATTATAAATATGTGAATGTTGTAAAATTATTGATTTATTTTATCAATTTTGCATTTGTTATTCCTAATCTATTATGTTATAGATCGATAATTATTGTCTCTATGATGAACCAAGATTAGATTTAAGGTGGATATTCGAATTTTTAGAGTTAAAATAATTACAATCGAATTTGTACCGTGTTCTATAAATTAAAAAAAATATGAACATTCAGTAATTTAAAATTGAACATTTAGTACACTAAAAATGAACATTAATATATAAAATATGAACATAATTTAACGATATATTTTATCTTTATCTTTTGTTAATTATTATATACAATGAATTTGAACCTATATGAATACATGAAAATCATGTTCATCTTTAATATACTAAATGTTCATAATTTTTTTTGTACTAAATGTTCATTTTATATAATGTATTCATATATTTTTATGAAATTTTTATTTTATTAGGTATGATTCAGTTATTCTATGATTGTATGATATACTAAATGTTCATATTTTTTTTTGACATGTTCATTTTTTTATTACTAAATGATTATTTAATTTTTACGTGTTCAACTTTTTTTTTTTAACTAAATGTTCATTTTAAGGTCGTGGTCCATCAATTTTATGATTATATGATTATCATGTTCACTTTTAATATACTAAATAATCATTTTTTTAAAACATGTTCTCTTTTTATGTTCATTTTTTTTTTAACGTGTTCAATTTTTTTATTACTGAATGTTCATTTTTTATTACGTGTTCATTTTTTTTTATTTTTTACTAAATGTTCATATTATAGGGCAGCTTAGACTTATTTGTGTTGTGCCAATTTTTTTAAAAACGGCATAAATATTGCCCAATGGTCCCATGTCACCTTGTTGTATCATATCGTGTTTGTGTGTATATCATAAATTAATTAATATTAGTGTGTTTTGTGGTGTTGTGTTATAGCCCTTCAAAAAAATATGGCCCAAACCCGGCTCAAAACACAACAAGCATAATAGTGTGCTGTGTTAAGTCATGCCTACCGTGTGTATCACTATCACACAATGCGTTTTTTGGGGTTGGATCATGCTGTGCTACGAGCGAACCCGACCCAATGCTATAATAATCATGATTGTTCTAGTTTTATCCTTTTGACAATTTATTTACCTTTGATAATTTTTGTTTGATCAAATGTTACTTTATAAATACGAATATACAATTCAAAAGAATACTTCGTATATGATACTATTATCCCATAACTTAGCTCACCTAATACTCTAATAGATCAATGAAAAGGATAATACAGAGACATGATTGAAGCTAAACATGACATAAGGTTGGGCCTATTCAAGCCAAGCAAGACATGTTATCTGTGCATTGGGTTGTTTTTGGGCTACATTTATGTTCAAAAAACATAAGCACAATACAATACAACACATCAATACGACAGATTATGTCCAAATAAAAATTGCTTAGTCGTGACATGATTTTCACCATGGACATATGAACCTCAACTATGCTTGAACCTCCCTTTTATAAACAGTGTTTATGATCAGGCTTAGTGTTAGAATCCAACTCCTTTTAATGTATTAGATGCTCTTTTAATGCTTTCCTAGAGTTTACTTTATGTTTTCTAGACCTTAGATCTCATTATTGTATTACCGTCAGTTTAGTGTTCACTAGGGATTCTCTATGTAAACTATTTAAAGTTCTTTAGAGGGCAAATGATTAATGAAATCCAAAAGTCTTCTACCAAGTGTTGGCTTGCTTTTATGCTTATTTGTTGTTAGACCTTTATAGCTACCATGTCTTACTTGCATAATAGCTCCCTTCCACAACAAATGATGCTATAAGAACTCATGGTTTGGACCCGCTTATGCCCGCCTTGAAGTATCGGCCATCACAAGCCCTGACCACCCGCACTCCATCGCTAAAAGATGTGAGTGCTCTTGAGATCTAATTGCCCGTTTGTGTTGCTTCGTGCTCACAAGCCCCATTTCCGCACTGAGGTTAGTGTTCTTGCCGCCAAAAGGTTAGAGTGTGTCGCACGTTCCGGTGCTCAAAATCTTGGACCATGACACTTAGCCAACCCATATGAACGCGGGGCTTAGCACAAGACACAATACATGTCACTTGGCATATTGGTGGTATAAGTCCAGCCCACTAAATTTGTAGGTGGAAATACTATTTAATGTGTAGATTAGACTTGGCCACCCTATCAACTAGCCTGGATAATAAATTAAAAATACTTCCTCCGTTGATTTAGATGCATCACTTTCTAAAAAAGAAAGTTTTAATTTAGATGCATCACTTTCCTTTTTAATTAATGAACTCACTCCATCTCTCTCGTATCACACGGGTCTACATATATTTCTTTTTCTCATCTCCAAAAATTGCCTAGGAATTCGTAATTTTTAAAGTGATGCAATTAAAAATAATTGAAGAAAGTACTATATATTTATTTAATTATCAATTAATAATAAATTTAATTAAGATTATTAATAAATTACAATCAAATAAAGATATTACTTTATCAACATTACAATTGTGGGATATATGACACACCATCACACATATTGTTGGAATATTCAGCATTTTGGAGACTTTGTTTAGCGACTTGTTGTAATCGTGATGGCGATTATCATTTGAAATTGAAAAATAATGTCATTTGCAATCACACATAATTCTTTATTAATGATTCAAATTCATAATAATTTGTAATAATTAACTAATCCCAGGATTCCCATCATAGAGACATCACTAGTCACTACACTCCTACTGTGTAAAGAGGCAAGGAAAGAACAAGAAAGAGGCAAGGAGCAACCATAGGAGTTTATGAGGAACGTTTGCCACTCTTCTCCTTGCTGATGATTTTGCGACAAAATAAAAAATTGGTGCCGCAAAAAAGTAGGCAATTGATCTAACTTAGTATTCAGCCAAATGAACATGTTTTGGTTCCTACTCAAAAATATGCATCTTAAGTCCTAACTCATAACTGAATTATCTACCCGAATTAACATAGCTACAAGCATCTCAAGTCCCAAACCCTAACTCATAACCAAATCATCCGCCCAAATTAACATAGCTATAAGCCTATAACCAACTCAACTAGTTTACGAGTAGATTGACTTGTGTGTTCGAATAGTGTATTACTACGAAATTTCGACAATGAGCTATATCACCAAAGAAGACACCTTCTGAGTCTAACCAATTGAAACTCCCCAATTTTCCATTTTCTTCCCATCAAATCAAACCATACCCAAAACACACAAAAATATTCACCAAAAAAACGTCTTTCTCTATCCTCCCCTTCTTTCTCTCTCTTCTTGGGGTTGCTGCTGTTGGTAAAATAACCGAAGAAGAAGAAGTAGCAGAAGAAGAAAGTAGGAGGTGATGACAGGAAGAAATATAGACGCATTAATAGCAAGTACAAATTCATCAACTTCCTCAGATCAATTGTTAATGTTCCCTCCTAATTTCCCTCTTGTTTCTGCTCTTCTTGCTATTTCTCTTGCTCAATTTCTTAAGATCTTCACCTCCTGGTAAATTTTTATCCCTAATTTCCCTTTCTATCTATTTAATTGTTCGATTTCATTCCATTTTGTACTGTTTGAAGGGTTTGGATTATGTGGGGTTGTTGCATTCTGGGTCATTTGGGTTTGATTTTGTGTTGTTTGTGATTAGGGTTTATAAATTTATTTGATTTTTGATGTGGGATTTTGTTGATTTGATTACATTTTTAGCTACTTGAATGTATAGATCATGATTATCATGTGTTTGTGTGAATTGGGTTTTGTTGATCGTTGAATTGGGATTTGATTGTTTTTTATGGTGTTAATGTTAGATTTTAGTCAAAGATGCGATCTTTTGTTTAGTGTTTATAATTGGTTATGCATGTTTTGTTATGCAATTGAGTTTTATAATTTTTGTAAGTTGTAATCTACTTGAAGTTATGAGCGAATGTCTCCTGTAACATCTCTTGCGGTTTTCGGTGTTAGGGGTTGTTTCACTAAGTGGATTGTGATAGGTATGGAGTAATGTATTATAGAAACAGTTTTGATATTGTTAGTGTTTCAAGGATCTGGAATATTTTGTCGTTAGAATATTTGCCTGATACCATTGGTTGACAAGTCCTTATAATTTGTGCTTTGAACATATCTACTTTTAATCCCTATCTCAAGTTTCTTCCTTTTGCAATATATAATTTTTAAATTGACAGGTTCAAAGAAAAGAAATGGGACTCTAGAAGGATGCTAAGTTCTGGCGGCATGCCATCATCACATTCAGCAGGCGTGTCAGCTCTTGCCGTGGCAATTGGTGTGCAAGAAGGAACAGGTGGATCAGCATTTGCTCTAGCTGTCGTTTTGGCTTGCGTTGTATGTACTTCTTAACCAGATGTACTTCACACTCTCCTTTATGGGATGCTGCCTATTATTTTTGGATTGTCTGATAAATGCAGTGCTTGTTGCTTCTGTAAGAGTATTGTTTTGACTTAAAACTGATAACTATAATAATAGTTCAATCCATTGATATTATACTGATCACTTCAAAGTAAAATCTGAAACTTTTGAAGTTCTTGGCAAGACTCATATTTGGATGCATGCTGATTCATTCTTCAAGTTTAACTTGCACTGTCTTGAATCAATTGCCTCACTAATTTTGGGATGTCTTAAATAGTAGGAATAGCCAACTTTGACTCGGTAACTTCTCATGCTTTTCCTTTAGATATATAATTCTTTCATATACCTTCATTTTGGAGGAGTCTTTTCTTTTATAATTTCTCGGTTTGACTTTAATAACTAGGATATTCAGCTGAGGTATGTTTGGTTTTAGTTGAAGGAATGGAAAAGAATTGGGAATGGGAAGAAAAAGAAAAGATTGGAAAGGAGGAAAGGAAGGGATAATACTCTTCTTCATTTAAAGATGTTTTTCCCTCCTTCCCTCAGCTGTCATAAAGCATGCAATTAATTTATAGATCAAACCACTTGTTTTTGACAAGATGAGGGAGACAACTAGGATATAGGAACAAGGATTAGGGGTTATGGCCAAAAAACAGATGCCTAACTTAGTTCTCTCAGAAACATTATAACTTGTAATGTTAGAAAGTCTGGAGCCTAGTCAAGTGAATCTATTAACTTATAGTAAAAGCGAATAACCAATGACACTTGTCATTACCTTGTGAAAAAATTTCCCGCCTTTTGTTTTTTCTTCTTTTTTTTGCAAAATCTTTAAGTAAACTATTTATACCTTATGATATTTTCTTTCCAGTTTGATAATCATATTCCATATATACCCAAATGAAATATTTCTGCATATCTTTTATATACCTTATACGGAGTATTTTGTAATAGTATTGTCAAAAATATTTAACAACCGTGCATTGCACGGGATTTTAACCTAGTATTTTTCTATAACAGTTTGTGATATGTGTTTGAGCATGAAGCCAAATCAAATTCATATTCATCAAGATTACATTTTTAATATTTGGTAAGATAATTTTGTTTCACTTTTGTAAGGCACATATGATATAATCATATGAACAATGAGGTGTGATGGGATGATTAATCAATTTTGGATTTTGAATTCAACCGTAGCAAAATCACAAAATGTGCTGCCAAAACATATACTTCATCCATTTCTTTTTAGTAGACACGTTTCTTTAGTCACGTTTGCCAATGCACAATTTCAACCATTCATATCTTTAATTAATGATAGGCAAAAATAATGAAAATTTGATATTTTGAAAATATATATTGTGATGAATCTAACAAAATCTCACATAATTATATTTTTCATTACGTATAAAGCACAAAACACGGTCAAAGGGGAGTGTGAATAGCGTTGAATTCAAAACGTGTCATCTAAAAAAAACGGAGGTAGTATTTGTTCTTACATGTCTGAATTATACATCATTGTTAATCTATGCTAAGGCATGCTTGGATTGAGGGAGATGTATTACTAGGGTAATAAAGACAAACTAAGCAAAATGAAAGTGAATATAAGGAAGGATGAGATAGTGATGGTGTGGTTGTAAGGAAAATTATGTAATGATGGTGTGGTAAGAGGTGAAGAAAGAGGAACTATTACCCTCATTTTGGGGTAATAGTTACACTGGGGGAGGGTGGGTAACTATTATCTTCATGGCATAACTACCTTATTTCATTTGTAAAGACCTTGTCTCCTACAACACCACCTCTAATTACTTATGTTTTTTAAGTTTTGACTTTTATTACCCCCTTAATATATTACCCTCAATCCAAGCATGGCCTAAAAGTGTCATTTGTAGGTCACAGTATTGGATCGTTTACCCAAGATTGACCTGATTGACTAATAACTTAAACATTTCCCCCTTTTGTGCTTTAGCATGGACAGAAATTGTTTATATACATGTATAAGGATTTAGGTAGGGATTTGGTTGTCAGCACTCACTAATGCTTGTCAGATTTGATGCACTAACATGTCTTGTATCACTTACTTTTCAACAAGGTAAATATACGTGTTGTAATGAGTTGTTGTTTTCTGCTTGGCAGGTGATGTATGACGCCTCTGGTGTGAGACTTCATGCTGGTCAGCAAGCTCAAGTAAGTTGGCTTGGATTTGGAGATACTCTATTTGTATCAATTTTCTTTGAAATTATAAGCTTTCCGTAATGGAGATTGAGAAGACTCTAGGAAACTTCTAATAGTTCCTTCGTTTTTTTTTTAAGTTGCATCACTTTCCTAAAAAAGAAGTTTTAAATTAGTTGCATCACTTTCCTTTTTAACTAATAAATTCTCTCTATCTTTCTCCTACCACATGGGCCCCATTTATTTTTTCTCTCTACCTCTCTTTAGTCTTTACTCCAAAAATTGCATAGGAGTCCGTGAAAACAAAAGTGATGCAACTTAAAAAAACGGAGGAAGTACAAATTATTCTCATTTTCAGTTTAGTAAAACATTTCTTTGGTGTTCTTCTTTCCAAATTTGGTGATGCTAGTTTCTTTGTTGCAGTTATTGAATCAAATGGTTTGTGAGCTGCCTCCTGAACATCCTCTTTCTAATTGTAAACCTCTGCGAGACTCATTGGGTCATACTCCTCTACAGGTTTGTTGAGCTTTTATGGTACCTTTTAAAATTATTGTTTTGGCATGTTTCCCTCCTTATTATAGAATCTGTCTAGATATTCTCTTTCACGATGGATACTGCGTCTGCTGGAAATTTTGTTGTGGCAATTTTCCTGTAAATGTTAAATAGTGCAAAGAGAATCCAATGTTTGATACTTGTTCTATCTATTTGATATAGGCATTTTGGCAGTGGTGAGTGGTGGCAAAGGTTTGTAAAGCCTTAGCCCTTAAGTTGCCTTGTTCAAATATGATTAGTTTATTATAAGCTCGATTTTCAAGAACAACCTTAATCATATTACTCAAAATCTCCCAACATTTCAAAATCAGGATTCCTCATCATATTATCTTGTATGGTGAATGTATTTTCTAGGTGCCTCAACACATGCTTTTTAATTGTTTAAATATGTTACTTACAGTCAGTTGGAGTTATAAAGAGTTGTTGGAGTTAAAAATCCGGTTGAGTTGGATAATGTATTTTGAATTTTTATCATGCCAATGCAGGTTGGAGCAGGTGCTATATTGGGCTGTGTTGTTGCTTACCTTATGAAGTTTTACAGATAGGTGCCCTAAAAACTGATTGCAATTCCTAATCCTGTGGCAACTGTAAGAGTTTGAGCAGCATGGGCAGTTTTTATGGTTTGGTGGACAGTCAAGCTCAAGGAGCAGAACTGTCGTCAATTTTGTTATCCTGTTGTTCGAACACAGCTGAACGAAATAGCAATCACTCCTCAAAATGTCATATATATAGTAGATTAGTATTAGCGCCATCTTATTGGAACTTCCCAGTTTCACCAATTTTTTTAGGACTACCATTTTTAGTCCAGTGTATCTATTGTTTCTGTTTTGGATCTTGGAAAAAGTTGTAGATAAAGAAAGAAGCTGTATTCGATTGTGTGCAGGCCTAGTTTTTTCTTCAAGGAAAAAAAAGCATGGCCAAAATTATACTTGCATAATTTCCAATTTAGAATGTCAATGGAGAAGTAGTTTTTTTGTGGATCACCTATCTCTCTATTAAAGCTGTGCTCAGTCAATAAACAAATAAGATGGTGTCTATTCAAGCTGTGTCTAGAGTTTTTGTTTTGAATTTGAACGGTTTTCAAAATTTACTTTTGATTTTCGATATGATTAACAAGGTTAAAGAGAAGTGTGAAGATTTTGGAAAATCAATTTGGATTATGCCTCGAAGACACCATGGAGGTAATCCATCTTATGAGACAACTTTGGAATCTCGTGGTTTGAAGGTGAGTAGATTTAACATAAGTATTTGGAATGTAAGTTTAGCGGCGTGAGAAATAAGGATGCAGAGATAATCGCCTTGGACGTATGTTAGCCTATCCCAAATCATTTTGGGCTTAAGGCTTTGTTGTTGTATTAATCAATTTCCCTATTTTGATTTTTTGTTGTCAATCAAGCAACAAGCTCACACGAATATTGGCTACTCCCTCCGTCCCATATTTAGTTTCTGTTTTCCTATTTTGAAGACCAAAATATTGTTCCTGTTTCTATGTTTGGATAGTAAGTAAAGACTAAATATCATTATATCCTCATTTTTTTAACTTTATTAATTGTACTTTTTAAATTACCCTTAAATTTTCCATATGCTTTGTACTTTTTTCCATTTTCTCTCTCTAACTTTTGTTTATAATTGTACATTTCACCTTTTTTACGTACTTCATTCACTTTATCGTCTCTATTTTTGTCTATAATTGTACTTTTCACCTTTTTTTTATGTACTTCATTTACTTTTTTTTCCCATTTCTTAAATACCGTGAAAAAACACAAATAGAACTGTATATTGAGACAGAGGGAGTACATAAATTCTTGGGAATTTTTAATTCCTCCATTTTTAATGTGCAACCAAATATGAGTGTGCCCCAATTTCTTGTGTTTCCAAAATGGTATGTTTCTAAATAAAAGGAATGATGAATATTCTATATTTTTTCTCCTCCATCTTCGCCTCCTTCATCCTTTTCTTCTTAACAATTATGCTTTCCTCCTCATCCATTGTTTCCTCTTCCATTGAAGCTACTTGCAATAGATGTAAACCATCACTCTCACCACTATATATTGTAAATGCAAACCTTAAGAGAAAATGGGGGAATGAAGGGTATGGTTAACCCCAAATGACAGGATATGTAGTCCTCCTTCATTGATGCCCTATGCCATCTTTGATTTCTTAATTAAAGTTCTTCTCCATTAATAATCTTCTTATTTTGCTTCTTTGATTTCTTAACTAAAATTACAATATTAACCCTAACTTATTAGCTGAAATGACAAATTTGCCCCTATAAAATGCTTCTCTAGTAAGAACTAAAATTAACATAAACAAAACGACGCCGTCTAATCCAACCCAACTCCATCATCATCTTCACATTCAAACAACACTCAAGAATTATACAATTTCCCCAGAATTCAAAAACCCCATCTTCCCCCCATTTTCTCTCTCCTCTTCAAATACAAAACCAAAAAGCAAATTCAAAGCTTCAACAATGGCGGAAACCCTAAGTCCAAATCCACCATTACAAAAACGAAGAGCCTCAATTTCCACTCGCTTACAATCTCCGACAAGCCCTTTCTTCTTAGGCTCAAACGACGACAAACTTGAACGCGCTCAAGCACGTGCTGCACGCGCCGCCGCTGTTCGCCGTAAACTCGCCGAAGATGCTCTTCTCTCTCCTCCTCCTTCTTCTCCCTCGAATTCTTGCCTTGATGGTGATCAAATTATGGAGTTGTTTCGTAATTGCATCAAGCTCGCCAGTGAAAATGTCTGCTCTCTTTCTTCCTCTATTTTCGCCCATTTACGAAGTTTTTTTTCTGCATTATATCTGAAATTTTAGTGTTTTATGTAATTTTTGGGCTGCTTCTTGGATTGGTGTAGTTTAATTTGTTTTGATTCTATTAAACTGCAGTTTGTGAAATTCAAATGCCCTTTTTTGTAATAATTTCTGGTTTTTTTTTTTTTTTTTTTTTTTTTTTTTGGGTTGTTGTTGCTTGAATTGGTGTAACTTAGTGTACTGGATTCGCTACCCTCTCTCGATTTCTGAGTTCTATTTCATATGTTGTTACTTTGCTTGATTTTTGTTGATTAATTTCATGAATTTTAATAAAGATGCTGGATTTCTGTAATTAATTTATTTTATAGGGGAATTTATGTTGGAAGTTAAGGAATTATGTTCATGTTAGTGACTTTATTGGTAGTCAGCAGAACTAAAAATTAGATTTTTTTTTGTTTTAATTTGAATACATGGTTTTAATGGTTTTTAGGGACATTGTAGAAACTGAAAAGAAGAAACCTTTTGTTTCATTGTTGAATTTTTTTTGTGACTTTTTACTCTATGTTGGAAAATCTTATATTCTGATTGAGCAAGCTGATAGTTAGGAGCCCTAAAAAATCATAATACGCGCTCTTAGAGTTGTTTTTGTTATCTATTTGTTTTCCCCTTGTTTTTTTGCTGTATGTCAAGGGGTGAGGATAGTTGATGATTTTGTTTGAATTAGAGTTCTATTTTATTCTTTGGAGAGATAATTGGTCCACCATTGTATGAACCAAAGTTGGCCTATGTTATTAATTGAATTGTTAGTTTTATTTTGAGAATACAGAAAATCAATCAGAAGAATACCTGGGAACTGAAGCTTATCGATCATCTCAGTGAGATTATCAAAGTTGAAGATGAGGATGATGCTGAGACCAACTTTCAAAAGGTAAGACACTTCTTTACAAAGCATTTCTGCTAATTCGTATACAGCGCCGTTTGCTATGAGTGAGATGATGTTCTGTGATAATCAAGTAAGAAATATGTGAGTTTGACATTGGTATGTATTTCAAGCATTTAGATACCATTGCTTCTTTGTTTTGGTCCTTGTGGAGTTGCTGTGGATGATGAATGTTTGATTGTGTCCATTGATGATTGTATGTATACTTGTACTTTTCTTATCATATTTTATCTACATGGATTTCTCTCCGGTTTTTCTTATCTGTATAAGAACAAAGAACAAAGGATTCATTTGCGATTAGAGGCATTGAGTCACAGAGAATCAGCTTTATCAGCAATTATGTATTATCTAGTTCTCCTTAATTTAAGTGGTTCCGGGGATAACCATAGAGTCAACCAAACATTCTTGTCTTCCTTAAGTGTCTTTCATAACCTCTAATCTCAATCATTGTTGGGCAGGCAAGTTGCACACTGGAAGCTGGGGTGAAGATATACGCACTGAGGGTAGATTCTGTACATTCTGAGGCATATAAAGTCCTCGGTGGAATCAGTAGAGCTGGTCTTGAAGATCAACAAGGTTTGGCATATGTGTAAAGATGTGCCATACATTGCTAAGTTGGTTGTTATTATGCAAGAGAAGTAAAGGTTTTTTTAGTGGTCACATTAGAATTGAGTATTTTCCTTATATGCCTGTGTTACTGTTAGAACTGTTTGCTCATTTGTGATTCATTATATAAGGATAAGATTTATTGTGCTGAGGTAATTGCTGGCACCTTAATTCTAGCTCCCTTGTTTGCTAAAGACCTTAAGTGTTTCACTTTGCTTTTGTAAGCTAGCATCTTGATCAATTCTTGTACATTTGGTTTTTCTCTTGCTGTTTGGTCTGATGTTTTATGATATTTTTGGTGGCTGGACAGAAACTTTAGCAGGAGACAGTGAAAGCAATGAGCAAGATGTTGATCAACCCAAAAAGGAGTCAGAGAAGAAGGTTTTTTGTTTTTATTTTTAATAAAAATTTCAATACGTTTATCTTTTGTTTTCATCATAATGGTATTGGGTTTATTTCTTAATCCCATGTTAATGGATGCACTTGCAGTTATCACCTCTGTCAACGCTGGAATCATCTTTTGAGACTTTGAATGTCAAGAAGCTTGATGGTAATGGACATAGATGCCCATATATCTATTCAAGCCCATGTTTCTCTCACTGTACTTTATGATATTTCACATTTTTTTATTTATTGTTTTCTAGTTTCTTTTGCGGTGGACCCTCTGTATCACCAGACAACTGCGCAATTTGACGAGGGTGGGGCAAAGGGTCTTCTTCTAAACAACCTTGGAATTTATGGAGGGTGCCGAGTACTTTTTGACTCACAAGAAGTCCCAGCAAAGTGCATTTCTTCTACTAAAGATACTAATTCTTCCAATCTTATTGACATCTCTTTTGTTGGCGGTAAGTAGGTGAAAGTTATTCAGTTTCTCATTGCATCTTTTGGCCAAATGTTTTACTCTTGTTCTTTGACAGATTGCATTGACCAGATGGTGACAAACATGAACACAAAGAAAGATATATGCCCTACTTTTAATGCGATAGCGGAGCAGCTTGATGATAATAGTTTGCAACAAAGGCAATACCATAGTATTCAGGACTCTGTATGTGATGTTGATGCAACTGATGATGTCACAGTTGAGTTGAATGGGGGTTCAGAGTTTACAAGCGTTAATGAAGCAGACGATGATAAAGGCTGTGAGCTAGATGACGGTTCATATGATCATGCTGAGGCATGTTCATTTGATAATAATGATGATGTATACAATGCTGATGAGGGTTTTGACATCAGTGATCAGCACTTGAATAATCAGTATGAGGTATTTTGTCACGCTTAGTTGATAACTTGTTATCAGATTTTTGAGTTTTGACGTAATTGCTATTTTTGTTCTTTTTCTTTTACATAGAATGTATTGGATATTTCTGATTTTACCAAAATTGACTACTATACATTAAATGTATTAATGTTGTAAATTGAAAATTTTGGATTTGTAGGAACAAGAAGCTTCTATGTCTAGTGAATTTGATGAATATGACAGATTTGACAATTTTGCTTCCCTTCTTTTGGGGGTTTCTGGAATTACATCAACTCATAATGCATGGGCTGGACCTGACCATTGGAAGTATCGAAAGTCTAAAAGTTAGCCGAGAAACTCTCTGTTCACTTTTTCCCCCCTTTCCTAATTGATCTGTGCTTTTTGCAGAAGTTGACTTGGCTTTGATTCTAGCTGCAGGTAC